TACTTTAGAAGTGAGGAAAATAAGGCACAGAGCTGAAGCCAGATGCCCAAATGATACACAGCAGAGCTGGAATTAATGGCAGAGCTGGAATTCAAATCCAGGAAGTTGTCTCCAGATCCTGTTCCATTAACTGGCTCTATTTATATCAAAATGCCTTCTACAACTGTATCTTGCATTACAGTTATTACTGCATTCATTATACCACATTAGTTTCATGTTTATATACCAATCTTTCAAACTAAACTTCGACTCTGAGACAAAAGTCATGCCTTTTTTTTTTAATAGCTAGTTGCTTATCTCACCGAAGTCTCTCAGATGATTACAAAATTAATGAATGACTGAAACATCTTCATAGTCACAGCTTTAGTCCAGCCCCTTTTCATCTCTTTCCTGACCTGCTAAAATAGTCCCCTAATTGAACTTCCTATCTCCAGCTTCTAATCAAATCTTTCTCCATGTGCCAAAATATATCATCTTTCAAAAAGCATATTATGATGACATCATTCCACTACTTAAAAATCTTTAAGATAGAAATTTTGTACTACCTCTAGAATAAGTCCTAAATTCTATTAGCATGACACACAATCCCTTCATGATCTAACATCTGTAATCTTTACTCCTTTCCCACACCAGTCTCATATTCCATCTATAGTTACCTCTTTGTCAGTCCCTAAATATGCCAAGCATGTTCATGCCTTTGTACACACAGGTTCTTCTGTACCCCCACCCCCCAATCTGGAGAATTCCTACTTTTCAACATACAAGTCACAGTCTTTCCTCAGGTTTCTTCCAAATTATCAGTTAGCCCTCTCCTATACAGTACTAGACTTTTACCTCATTTAACTACTTCCTATTGTTAATCGACAAGGTGTTTCCCCAACTGGACTGGGGAATCTTAAAAGAGTCCATACCTTATTCATCATCTTGTTGTGTCATACTGCATGCTGTGTGTTCCAAAATGCTAATTAACTTAGTAGAATGAAACTTGAAAAAAAAAATCTTACATTCTTCAGCATTCTCAGATATAAATGAATTCAAGACAAGCAACTCTTCCAAGAGAGTAAATGGAAGTCAGAGAATTGAAATATGCATGAACAAAAGCAAGTATCTCCTAAATTCCTGTTGCTCAACCCTAAATCCTAGAGAGTTGAGCTATTCCTTCCACGGTAAGTAATATTTAGTTAGTAGAATACATGATGTGGTAATCTCATCCTGAGTTTTAAGAAACACAGAAACACAAGACAAATATTTCCTGCATGAGTATAACAGGTAAGGGCACAACTCTGGAAAATGTGTCATTAAAGATAACAGGTTGAGTCATTTTAGAGCAAATCCTTACCAATAGGGGAATTCCTGTCCTTCTACACTACTATCACATGGTTTTGTTATTCACTAGTCCTGAATACAATTTGGGCTTTACACATAGCAAACATTGTCTGTCAACTGAGTAATAAACCAGAACTACTTGTTTTTCATAGAAAGAGGAAATACTTTAAATGTATAAACATTAATCCTAAATGAACAGGGAAGTTGAAAGGGGAAAAGAGGTGGGATAAATGCTGCACTAGTCAAATTTTTTGTATCTTTTCAGTTTCTGAAAAGCATTTTTAACATTACAAATAGGAAAAAAAAAAAAGACTGTCAATTTAAAAGCTTATCAGTCTTTTGTCTGGCTTTGCTCTCCAATTATTTTCCATGGTAGAAGAAAAAGAATTGTGCTAAAAAGTTTCAAGTATAACTTAGAATGATCATCCTTGGATTTCAAACAGAACAACTAAACTGTTAAACTTAAAACTCATTATTATCGATGAAACTTAAGTACTACTTGTGCATATAGTTGTAAATCTACCTATAGACAGCTGGGTCGCAAACACTTTCTAAGTCACTGAACCAGAACATAAACTCCAAGAGGGTGAGATCTTTGATTATTTCATTCACTGATGTCTTCCAAGAACCTAGAGCAGTGGCCAGACAAAATAGGCGCTCATTAAATACTTGCTGTATTATGCAAGATGGTCCAAATGTGTAATATGTCAATGAGTTGTAGCTCCTCAAAGAACACAAAGCTGAAATCTGGGTTCACCTTGAAATAAACACTGACTTAGGCTTCACACCCAGTGTTACACAAATCAACAAGAACAACTGATGTTAGAACCAAAGCAAATTTAAAACGCATGTAAAAATAAAACATTTTACATGGGGATCACTAAAGTTCTGAAATTTAAAGTATGCCAAGAAAATAACAAAAAATAAAAAAATCTTCAGCAAGCCCAAACTCTTACATGTTTTTCCACAGATGATTCAATTCCAAAAGTCATGGGGTTTTGACAAAATTTTTAAAATTGGAGACTTTCATTGAACAGCAATGCACTTACTACAATATTTTGCCTCCAGTATCACAAAGCAGGCCTGACCTTTCTTTTATCAACTGATTGAACTTTGCCAGAAGATGTCTGCTAAGCAAATACTTTTGAACATACCCACAACTGCTATTTCTGATATTTCCCACTTGTAAAAGCATAATGCAAATATTTATGAAATTGGCATTTTCAGTTTTCTCTATAAAAAGTCATCATGAGCTCTTAATTATGAATTAGGCTATTTTTTAGCTTGGATTAATAAGTCATTCTTTCAGATCTTGTTTATCTGCTACTAACACAAAATTTTTAGCTGGTCACTGCTCTGATCTGGTCCTCGTTCTCCTTTAGAAGGAGGGAGCTTAATTAAATTAACGGTCAATCTTTTTCTGCATTATCTTGAGAATCTGGTAAAAGTTATAGGTGACCTCTCTGAAATGTACACACACACTATATAGTAATTTTATAAGCAATTATTTATAATAGCAAAAGGTTGGAAATAATCCAAATATCCACCAATAGATGGTTAAATTATGTTATAGCCATTCCGTGAAATTTCTTGCAATTGTAAGTAGGATGAAGAAGTCTACACAGTTCTTTGAAAAGATTCCCATCATGTATTATTAAAGGATAAAAGGATACAGAACAATGTAACTTTCTGTAAAAGAAGTAAAATTAAATTGAGTTGCTCATTTTGTGTATAAGCAGAGAAACTGAATAAGAATCTTTGGAGAAAGTGGAAATGAGAAAAAGAACAGAGGAAACTTTTCATTATAAACTTTCTTATATTTTTGTTTGAATCAAGTGACTACATTGTCTATTAAAATTTTAAATAAAAAGAAATGTTTACAACCTCAAGAGGTTCGATCTGCTGAACTTGAAAGATAATTCCCAAACCCTGTTCAGCATTGTTCTAGCCTGCTTTGACTTAAGCATGTTACTGTTGATACTCAATGATCCAACAAGAATATGTAAGGAAAAATAATTTTCACTATAATGGTCATATAAACATGCAGACTACTTAGTGGATACTCAGTGACTCAACAGATCCTAGGTTAGAATCTCATTTCATATAATTTTCCTTACTCACAACTATATAACAAATTTCCTCAAGAGAAAAAAGAACTTGCACAAATCAAGCTTTAATTCTTCTCATGATTCAAATTTCAGACCTGATATTTCACAAGGGAGTCCAGGTTATGGAAATAAAAATAGAAATCTCTGCCCTACTTGACCATATCATAAACAGTATTAGTAAGGTGGCCAGAGAAAATGTCTTTTTTTTTATCATAATCTCAGAATTTGAAGCAAGTAGCACACAGCATGCACAAATCAGATGATGTTTAAGAGGCCTTTATCCCTGATTTGAACAGAATCAGATCGAACTGTCCATAGGCAAATTACTTAATGTCTATGGCCCTATTGCTCATAAGCATGTTGTGAAGCTTAAGAGGAATAAGAATGGAACGTTGAAATTAAGACGCAGAATTAAGTATCCTAGGGCAGTAGCAGGTGTCCCACTGCTTGAAATCCAAACAGACTGCATTTTGGAACCCGTAGTTTCTACGGGCTCTACGGGCTGTGCTATCATAAACAAGCAATGCCTCTTTTTCCCTACTGAAAATAACACATGGCAGAATTCCCGGCACAGAAGCTGCAAATATATGTCCCTTCCTGATTATGTTTCTTAAACATCTCCACTTAGGTACGCATTTTTATTCAAAGAGCTGTTGATGTCCGTGGGTCTCAGACACGCAAGTCATAAAGGTTTTGTTTTGTGTTTTCCACAGAGCATTTTCTGTGCCAAAGCTCAGCACCAAAGACTGACAGGTTGCAGAAGGTAAGAAATGCAAAGTGAAAGACCAGGGTCTTGCAACAGACATTTAACTGCAGGAAACTCACACTGTCACGGGGATAGAGGCAGCCCCGGCCAACCAATCTCTGTTTCCAAAACTTTTAAATCCCAGTCAGCTTTTGTTTTTGTCGGGCACTACTGGCGTTTATTAGTAGTAGTATTTTACAAATATAAATCGCTGTCGTGCATTGCTTCCTCCCGGCGTGTGAGCACCCTTTGCTCGGCGCGCATTTCTCAAGATTTTGTGAAAACTTCACTTGGAAGCTCATCCCCTCAACTCAATCTACTCTCAAGTCTGGAAAACTCCCTTCGTATCCTCAAATTCAAGCGGTCCCCTAAACTCCGGACACTTCACACTTCTCAATGACTCACTCAGGCCCAGGGGCCACATTTCTAAAAGCAGTACGACCCCCGCCTCTTCACCCAGCACTAACCCCCAGCACGGCTCTGAACCTCCAGGGTTCCTGCGAAAGTTCGGTCTCCTTCCACACAGCAATTTCAACCTGCCCCTAACTTGTTTCAAGAACGCTCTGGTTCCCCCAAACTTCTGACTTACGTAAGGCGCGAGATCCCTCATAGCCCCTCCAAATCCAACGTGCCCGTACTTCATCCCAAAGTTCTAAATTCAGAAACAGAGGCTGTGCCTGGGCAGAGCCCGGGTTCCAACCTCAGGAGAATTCGCCACTCCTGCTCGAGTGGGGCCTGGGACCCTCCACCCCCTAACCAGGCCGGGCCGGGGCGCGATCGGCCTCGCTCCAGACCCCAAAGGGACAGGGGGTAAGCTCCACCTGGTTCAGCGGGTGCGGCGCGCGGCTCCTGCTCCGGCCTGGGCCCCGCGGCGGC